CGGGCAGGTGCCCGGAAGCAGCCGCGGGCCTTGCTCCTGAAACAACCGCCGGTGAGACGTGAGGTTCCCCCGCGCGCACCGTGTCCTGCTGGAGCAGGGTGAGGATCCGGGATCCAGGCTCCCGGGCAGGAAGGCGCTCCGGCAGAAAAGCGGGAGGAAAAAGGCCAAACCCCCACCTGTCTGTCAGAGCCCAACAAGTCGCTTCGAAGTTGTTTTTGACGTTAATTAGCGCCTTGTACTTGCACGTCAAGAGCAGCTGTGAGCGGTTCCCTCCCGCAGAAGGGATAAACATCCAGTTTAATAATAAACAGCATCAACGTCCCGTGAGATGCCCAGGGAAGCCCTTCTGGGGTCACCAGAGCCCAGCGCCTCCTTGTGCCTCGGCGGCCCACACGTCTCAGCTGCAGCGTGTTCATGATGCCAACAAGGAAATGCAACCAGACAAGTCTTTTATCCTCAACACTTAGGGCAGTTTGTGCCCAGAAACTCTCACCTTTAATGTCCTGATGCTTTTCCCCAACGTAAATGAAGCCACAGGGTCAGACTGGCGAGCGTTCTGTGTGCAGAGTTCCAGGGCAGGGTCAGTAACCTTTCAGCATGGACAGCCGAGCCAGAAAATGAGGGGAAAACACTCCAGAAACTCCACAGAAACACCCAATATACCCTTGTCCTGGTCCTTTCCTGAAACTGAATACTTACAGATGGAAATTAACCATTTCCCCCTCAATTAAAAAATAGCTGCTGGTTTCATCTTTTCTTGAGAGCTTCCCCCAAAACTGCCAACTCCTGTCCTGAGGCTTGGGCATCTTTGGTTTTTTTTCCCTTATATCCAACCAGCACTTCCTTCCAGTGACTGTTTGGCCCCTCAGGCTCCCCCTCCCATTCCAGCCCAGCCCTGTCCCCTTGATGCCCTCCCCATGGGCACTGCTGCTGGCTGCCCTGGGCACCCCAGCACCTCCCACTTGGGTCACACACAGACCTGCTGGGGATGCAGGCACACGGGTGATGCACCTGGGCAAGCACTTCCATCCTGTGCCCTCCTAGGACATCCTGTTCTTCTCCACAGGGTCACCTCAGCCACCTCCACCTGCAGGGGAACCATCTCCTGGTACTGCTCCCTCCTTCCTCATGCAGCCTCACCTAGAAACAAACCAAGCACTGCCTTGAAAACAGACCCATCTTTTCCTCTTGTCAAAAAAACCCAACAGACATCTCCCTGATGGCACCAAATAACCCCTCAGTTAAAGACCTAAGAATTTAATACCTGCAGAACAGAGTTCAGGCCAGAGTTGCTCACTGCAGCTGAAAGAACAGAACAAAAATGTACTGCTTTTGCAACCAGCTGGGCCAGACTTGTTAAAAGTCAGGTGTATTTATGTTTTTCTTCCCTTAATATAATTTATGAGGTGTTAAGAACGACAGATAACAAAATATCTACTTGACTGTAGTTCAGAAAAGAATGAGTCCCAGCCATGTCCTTGCTGTCAAACTCTTTGTTTCACACAGCATTTCTTCTCTCAGCAGCCTGGTCACAGCTTGCAGGACTGTGACCTGCTTCCCATTCCTTTTCCCTACCAGCCTTAAACTCTGCCAGGGCCTGAAAAGCTTCAGAACCAGCAGCCCCCTGTACAAATGCAGAGTTAAACCCAGCAGCCCTTTCTCAGGGTTAAGACAACATTAATGAATGATTCCATTCTCAGTATCACCACCGACTGATCACCTCATGGCAGCAGGGATGAAAATTTTGTTAATGATAAAAATATGCTAATGATAATGATAAAAATGGTGAAACGGAGCATTCAAGGGAAAAATAAAGTTCCCTTTAGCAGTTTAAATTGAAGGTAATGCAGGAGCACACAGCAGAGAAGGTCATTAAATGAACAGGGTGAAGCCATTTTGCAGGTTTACCAGTTTTCCAGGGCATTTTACCTTGATGATCATAACATGAGACAGTGACAAATGCATTCCAGCTGAGATAAGATATGTGGGTCATGCTGACTTTGCAACATTAGAAACTGCTACTGGGGACAACACAGATTCTCTGTGAGGTAATTTACCTTCTTTGGATGAAAAGATAAATGTGAATTAACAGGGAAGAGTCTGAAACATCTGAGCTGTGCTATTGATCTACAAAAGACCTAGATAAGTCAAAGAGAAACTAACGCTTGCTTTGCTTGAGCTGAGTGATGGATGGGAGAGCAGATTTAGCTCAGCTAAGGGGCTATCACTGTCAAGAAAAAATAAATAAATATATAAATATATATATATATATATAATTATCCTGCAGTAGTAGGGAAAATATGTAGTAGGCAAAAGTGATCTTTTACTTACGACATTATGGACTGTAAACAAAAATATTACAAGGAACAAAAATACTCAGTGCTTTTAAACATGTTTAACACAACTAGAGTTGTTCCTGATGAGAAAAATGCAGTCATAATGAATATCTAGCTGTAATAGTGAGTTTTCAAAGAATAAAGAGAATAAATGGAGGGTTTCAGGCCAGAAAGGATGTTTGTGCAAAGGGCATGAGCATAAATTAGTCTTTTAGGGGTGCTGTGTCCTTTGCTTTGTTTTTGGGCTTCCATGTCTGCTCAGTCCTACTGGTCAAGAGTAGAAGCTGTGAGCTCTGGGCCTACAGGCTGACATGGCTACAACTATGAGAATGGATTTATCTCCACAGCCTTGTATACTGTGTATTTCTGGGTAAACTCAGAGTTCTTAACATTTCCTATTAATATTTATTACTGATTTATTAAAGTTTATAAAGCACTCACCTATTTTTCTGAGAAGACACACCGTTTTTAACAACTACATACATCAGTTTCAAGGACCACAGAGGGGTTTTACTCCATGGTGACGTTACACTCCAGTGTTTCTTACAGAGGGTATTTTTGCTGGTTGGACATGAAATAATTGTTATTCTAGAAAAAAGGGCAGGATAACACCAAAACAAACCCTGCCACCCTGCAGCTGGAGTCTCACTAGTCCCTCCCCTCACCCAAAGGCTTTCACCAGGCAGTGCCCAGATGGTAACTGGTCTGGGCAGGACTCTTGTTAACTCTTCCCAAAGCAGCGTGTGCTCCTCTTGCTCACGCCTGCCCCTCACCTCTAGGCTCCAGGAGCAGCAAGGGGAGCCAAAGATGCACAGTGTTTCCCCACAGCAGATGACAAGCAGGCAGTTCACCCATCTCACCTCCCTCCAGTTATCATAATTATATCCCCATATACTCACTTCCTGACCTGAGCCTCCTTGGCACCCTTCAGAAACCCCCACAGACTGGGGGCCCAGGGCCCACACGAGCTGCCCCTTGTGGGCAGGACCAGCACAACCTTACCCCAATGGCTTTGCTGTGCACCAGTCCGTGTCTGCTCCAGAACATGCTCCCGTAAGCCCAGCTCACTCCTAGTATTGAGATGAGCACGGAGCTGGAATGGAAACATCAGCTGATTTTGGTCTCAGAACTACTGCAGGAAAGCAGGGTCCTTCTCTGTTCCTCTGCAGAAAAGGAGATCTATTTTGCTTGACAGGAGGATGAGGGAAGAAGTCCTCTCATTTAACTGGGAAAATTTCAGGTCAAGCTATAGAACTGTACAAAGTAAAAAAGACAGGATTACAAAAGGAATTCCAACAGTAACCAATGTTTACTTCTCATTTGATATCTTCAGACAAGCTGGTCAGATGAAATCAGCAAACAATGTACACACATGTACTGTACCAAGTACCTGTAGAGTCTGGGTGTGGCTTTGCACACCAAGCAAACAGTTTTGAAATAAACAGTTGCATTGAAATCGTATCTCTACAATTTAGAAATCAAACCTAATTTGCTACAGCTGGACACCACCTGCAGAGTACTGTTTAAGTACTGTGAGCATTCCACACTTATCTTTTAAATATTGATAATGCCATTTTTCATTTATGTGACAGTAAGTCCCACAGGGAATAATTATGCTAATAAACCTTAATGATTCTTGCAAATAAATGATCAAACAAAACTGCTACTGTTGATTTATATTAATGGATGCCTTTAGGAAGAGATTTGTCAGGATGTACTGCTTCTTGAATTCCAATTCCTCTTATTTAGCAGAAGAATGTACATAGTTTGTAGAACAGATTAAGTGTTTAAACTCGAATGTGTTCATGGAGTTTCTGCAGTTTATCACATTCAAGCATTATTATCTTGCCTTATGGCAAATTTGCATTAAATGGCATTCGTACATAACTTTCTTTAGTCCCTTCTTTCTCCTTATTTTGTCCCTGGTGGCTGAAAAAGTCCTCCTTTTCAAGATCTTGAACTTAACATTTGCTGTCAAACAACTTGGCTTTTGCTGCAATGAGACTAGGAACATTTTTGGTGCTTTTTAATAAGGGCAAGTCACCTGAAGCTGATGACCTCCAGAATTTTGTAGGCTATGTTAAGATAAACAGCTTCTACTTTTCTTCTATTGTCAGATATGCTGGAAATTCTCACTCCCCATCTGCCTACACTTTTGAAATTTTAACCAAGTTCACTTACAAAACATTTTACATGGGCTTGCCTTTTAGATAATACACGTCTGAAAGTAATGTCAATGTGTTTCTTTTACTTCTGATTACAGGGCAGGAGGTATTTTAAGTGTCACAGGAAAGGAAAAAAAAAACAAACATGAGACGTAACTTTAAGATTATGAATTGAAACTTTAGTGGACCTGGAAGAGATAAGCACATGCTTTGTGTATTTACACACACACACAAGTGCAAGGTGGTGGTGGGTTAGGGTTAGAAGCAGGCAGGGGAAGCAGAAATGTGTCCTCTCTGCCTCTGCAGTGTTCAGTGCCCAGTGGTGACACTTGCACAGGTAGGCTTACTTCTTTGCTTGAACAACTTTGTTAAATGCATTTACTCTAGCAAGATAACAGCAGAGTGAAGGCACATGGAGTTTTTGCCTTTGAGGCAACTCATATGGCTGAGTAACCAGGAACATGGTGAAACTTCCTTCCATCTAGAGATTGTCAGAATTTCCCCCCCCCATTTACCTCCTCCTGCTTGTCCAAAACTTCAGTTTCAAAGAAGAGCTACATAGCCTACTGTGCAAACATTTTCTTTCTCTCCAAACATAAGCAGCTCCCATGAAACATGACATTGCATGGTTGGTATTTCAAAGGGCTGACATGAATGGATTTTACTACTCGCTGAATAATACCATCATGAAATCCAGCTGAAACATGGCACTAATTCACTCCATGCACAAGGAAACTAATAACTGCAGCACAAGGGTGATTGTGCCTAATAATACTCTAGAATGAACTGGTGGTTTGAATTATTTCTTCAAAGAGGACCATTCCTCAAAACCCTGTCAGGTAAGGCTTTTCCTTTGCAAAATGGGGGCTAATCTTGCAGACCCTGAAAGCAATGGAAATTCCCAACAGCGAAGGG